CTCAAGCCCACAGAGTAAGGTCTAGTGTTGGAATATCGAATACTCCCATGGTGGAAGTAATAGAATCATAATATATACTTTAATAATTCATGTATTCTGTAGTTGGAAAAAATATATATCAACAATATAATATAATAAATAAATTAACCTTAAATTATGAAATATCAGTCACGCGACATAAAATCAAAATATATACATTAATACATACGTTACGTACATACATGAAATGTTTAAAAATATTAACATTCTGTAATTTTCACTGGGTTTTTAATTTCACTATTTTGATATTTGTTCATAGCACTGCGTATTTAATTTTAAGTCAATTTAGTAAAATTTATTTATCAGCAAAAATAGCGTAGCTAATACTCAGTGAATAATTAATGCCTTTACGGTATCGTGTCTGACTTGGCATACAACTGCGACATATAACATAAAATGAACATGAATATACAGGCGATAACATTTTAAAATACGATACACATTTACGAAAAACTTTGTCGGTGGACCAAAATTCCATTAATCTTTATTTTCGAAGAATATGTGATATTGAAAATAAATTATAAACAAACAAATCACATCTCAGTGCATTTACTATCAATACAGTCCGTGGTTACCACAGTAACCCTAGACTCAAAAAAGATACAAAAATCTAAATCCAAGTGACAATGATAACAACACATAGAAGTGTTATGATATAAATAGTTATGCAATAAATACTAACTGATTTGAAAAAAACTCGTCTGGCAGTTTCATTTTACCTCACCATATCTGAATGTAGTATTGGTATCAGTGTCAGCAAATACCCAGGGTTCCCTTCTGTTAAATATGTTAAAGCTGGGGAGTCGTCACCTGCGCATGCGTCAGATGGCCATATCGTTCCATTTTTTACAGACAAGCGTCTACCCATTAGCCTTTGCGTTTTTAGCGTGTGCTGTCATCATCGCTTGGGACATCTTGAATTTTCAAGGCGAATGTTCCGGCGAAGCACTCGTAGTGGGAGGAATATCCGAACGGAACAACACCGTACAGGCGGACGATGCGCTTGGGACGTCGACTCAATTTCCACGCGTGGGCAGGTGACGACCCTCCCGCTTTAATGATTGGTATCAAAATGTGAATTACGCTTGTTCAGTGATGTCACAGTCCCTCTATGTCTACGGTCATGTCTTTGCTTTACAAAATATACTATATGTTTTATAACGAGAATGTACTGGTAATTTGTTTCTGCCTCAGACCTATGTGACATACCGCTGTATTATCAGTAGTGTTCCTGCTTCTGTCGACTAGCCGAGGCTTGTGCTACATTGAAATTGACGACCGAATCGGGTACAGCGCCGGGATAAGCGGGCGGTGCACCCGAATGACTAGCATGTTCTGCCATGTTGTACGGAGCGCCGCCCGGAAAGGGGTTCGTTTCGCATGGAGGCTCACCAGTCGTAGGGTGACAGGCAACTCTATTTTGTTGAGACATGACGAAGACGGGAGCTGAAGCTTGGTCCTTGAACTGCGACTCCAGTATGGCACCGCCTACGTAGGCCATTGCTGCCGAGATCCACCCGAGTATAATGGAATATCCTAACTTATAAATAATAAAAATACTGTCGACAGCGCTGCCAATCACATATGTCATAGTACCAATAACCACCAATGAAGCTGTGTGAAATAAAATATTAGTTTAGTTCAAAAAAAATATATGCATAATTAAAAAAATGCATACCCTATGGAAATTATTTTTTTTTTTTAGTTTTTTTTAATACTGTGAATATTCTGTGGCATAGGATTACGAATACTACGGAGAGGCTACTCAAGGACCTGAATACCATTTCAATTGTCATACTCTTTACTCATACCGATAAAAAATACACCCGTATCTCAAACCATTAACATGAAAAGCCCTTCTATATACCAACTTATATAAATGATTTACGCCAGTGTCCATTGTGGTATTCATGGAATATTTATATTTCAAATGTACCGTGAATTGCAGGTCAAGTGAGCTCAGGTCAAGATGACAGTCATAATCGACATAATTTTCCTGACTCGGACATAATAACGCATAGTTTCTTATGACAATACTGATAATATTCGTCCCTTTTGATATGCAAATAATAACACAGTATATGGGGATATACCAGATAGAAGAAATTGCATATCTATGTTCTGTGAATGCATTATTTTCACTTATTCCTTTGTTGTCCTAGAGAACCTACCGAGTAACTGGCAGAGAGTACGTGATGATTGGGTTGCGTCGCGATGGTCATCGATTTATCCAAAGCAGTCCGACCATAATTTGATGTAAAACGCCCTCATCGGGAGAAGTGTTGCCATAATTTAATAATCATGGCTACCGCATTTCGTGGAAATTGTGACTTGTTCTTAAAATGATCACAGTCACTTTTCAGTTTTCCCGGAGAATGTGATGCTTTAAATATTCACACCGATATATATTCTCTTACCTGCTACGAGGACAACGTGAGAGGCTTTCCTGATCTCGGCCCTCCCTACCTGTGGTATTTTACCGGAATATGCCAATGGTGGAATAATAAGCGTAACACAGCCAGCGATACAGGCGGTTACCATGCATAGACGGGTAATGTGTACAAAGGCTGTCGAGAAACACAAAGTGATAAGCAGCGACTCGGATATGGTGTTATTAGATCATAAACGCAGAAACAAATAAAACAATATGAATTTTATATATAGCTAAATAAATGCATTGGAAAATCTGCCTACCCGAAACTGGGAACAGGCTCCCACAGATATCTTCAAAAATCTGATATCCAAAAAGAGGAATTGCGCAACCCTTCCATAAACCGTATCGTACACCTTGCGCACTAATAACTCCTTCGATCCAGTTGTTCGTCGCCGTACTCACAATGTACAATAGTGTCGCCACGACAGTCAGACCATATGCAGCAATTGGGGCACGCAGCTCGCTCAAGGTCAATTGATGGAATGGCCTACTATCCATCGTCAATACTGTGAATAGCCTCCCAGAACAGCGAACGTAATTTTTAAATATTTACAATGCATTTACACAAAATGTTTCCAACCAGAGCGTTCCTTGTTTAAACCTCAATTTAAAATGCACAGGTTTTGTGATGTCAGACGGGAGAGTTTATTCATTTCTAGGGGTGCGTTATACATGCAGTCCGATGAATGGACTTGCGTTGGGATTTTGTAATAATTACTTGCGATTTATGTTTACTATGAATAAATTAGCAATTCCCATTGAAAGGTTTAAAATATGTATTTGAAAGATGAAGTTGTCTTAAACATTTTAGGATGCGGCCTTTTCCGGCGAGTCGTTACTGGTATTGAAACTAAACATTTGGGACTTCAGAAGAGTGGCCGGATATGTGTCTACAGTTCTGCAGCCTTGCATCAAAGGAATAATGATAATAAACAACAAAAATACAGAATTGAACGCATGCAGGTGAAGGCAATAGATAATCTTTCCATGAATATTTTCTTGAGGGTAGGATAGTTTTATATTTAACTAATATTTTCATTTATCTCATTATATCCAATATTTGACTGCATTGTAATATCAGTAGCAGCAAGCGTAGCTACTAGTATATTGTCTGAAATGCTAGTGTACGCATTTGTTTAAGAAGTTGCTGTCCAAGCATGTTTGAATACTAGTACTGGTCAATAATTGTTAGCATTAAGGTAGAAGTCTATTCATGTTTTTTGAGAAAGTTGGTCATAAATCGCATGACAGTGTTCATTGGTCTATTATGTAAAATCATGAAGCTATTACACCATGAAATGGCATTCTTTTGTGTGTTACAGTGACCGTGACGTGTTTTGAGTACTTGTTCTAATATTTTCCAAAAATCGCCATTTTTAGAACAATTTCATAGAGCAAAATGTTGATATTTTTTTAAAACCCAGTTTTTGAAATAATTTAGGACAACAATAAGTACTCCACTATTACGGTAACAATAATGTGAGGGCGCTTACACTGATGGCAAGTCTGTTGGGATTTCGCGGTCACATGACTTTCGCGTTCACCCTTCGTTTACGCAATTTATATTTATTTTTCAAGAATTTTTCATCGGAATCGCAACAGACTGCAAGCAAGTCTACAGCCATCACTGAAAGCACAGCATATGGAAAACGATGGACGATTATGTCTAAAACATATTTTGGCAAGATTCGGTCGTTTTTATGTGGTTATATTTAAACGAAAAATGTTCACAGTTATTGTCACTTTAAACAAAGAAATCGAAACATTGATATCCAAGACTAAATAAATTATACTTATAGGGTTATACAGTGAATTTAAATTGTACTTAGAAGAACCTTACAGTAGTGTCCATGAGAGCATGCTTATTTAAATTTAGAATACTGGCACATAATTTGCGAATAAAAAAGGTTAAACATCTGTATTATGACAAAACTGTTAGGGGGTATATATTGTGAACCATCAACCAAACTGAAGATCAATTGTATTTATGTGTGATATAGAGATTTGGGAAGTAGATAGATCCCGAGTTCTTTGGCACGTTATAAACATTGAACAAGTTTGTAATTCTTTTGATGGGTACGGGTATCATATGTACACGTATGAACACAGATTGTGCGTACAGACACGTATGAACCACAGATTGTGGCGTACAGACACGTATGAACCGGGTTGTGGGTACAAACATATATGAACACAGGTTGTGGGTACAGACACGTATGAACACAGGTTGTGGGTACAGACACGTAGGAACACAGGTTGTGCGTACAAACATATATGAACACAGGTTGTGGGTACAGACACGTATGAACACAGGTTGTGGGCACAGACATGTATGAACACAGGTTGTGGGTACAGACACGTATGAACACAGGTTGTGGGGTACAGACACGTATGAACACAGGTTGTGCGTACAGACACGTATGAACACAGGTTGTGGGATACAGAAACGTATAAACAGGTTGTGGGATACAGACACGTATGAACACAGGTTGTGGGTACAGACACGTATACACACAGGTTGTGCGTACAGACACGTATGAACACAGGTTGTGGGATACAGAAACGTATAAACAGGTTGTGGGATACAGACACGTATGAACACAGGTTGTGGGTACAGACACGTATACACACAGGTTGTGCGTACAGACACGTATGAACACAGATCGCGGGGTACAGACACGTATAAACACAGATCGTGGGGCACAGACACGTATGAGCACAGGTCGTGGGATACAGACACGTATGAACACAGGTTGTGGGTCCAGACACGTATAAATACATGTTGTGCGTACAGACACGTATAATCACAGGTTGTGGGGTACAGACACGTATAAACACAGATCGTGGGGCGCAGACACGTATGAGCACAGGTTGTGGGTATAGACACGTATAAACACAGGTTGTGTGTACATACACGTATAAACACAGGTTGTGTGTACAGACACGTATAAACACAGGTTGTGTGTACAGACACGTATAAACACAGGTCGTGGGGTACAGACACGTATGAACACAGGTCGTGGAGTACAGACACGTATAAACACAGGTTGTGTGTACAGACACGTATAAACACAGGTTGTGGGTACAGACACGTATGAACACAGGTTGTGCTTACAGACACGTATGAACACAGGTTGTGGGCACAGTGA